ATAGGGTGAATAGGAAGAGGAGGAGGGGGAGGTGGTGGAGGAGGAGGAGGAGGGGAGGTGGTGGAAGGAGGAGGAGGAGGGGAGGTGGTGGGAGGAGGAGGAGGAGGGGAGGTGGTGGAGGAGAAGTGGAGGAAGAGGAGGAGGTGGGTGTGGCATGAGGAGGAGGTGGGGGGAGAGGAAAGAGGATGTGGTTGTGGAGGAGGAAGAGATGGAAGAGATGGAGGAGGAGGAGGAGAGGAGGAGAGGAGGAGGAGGAGGAGGAGGAGGAGAGGAGGAGGAGGAGGAGGAGGAAAAGGAAAAGGGTGAGAGAGAGAGGAGAAAGCGAAAAGAGAACAAACGAGGGGGGAGCTTGAGTAGATAAAATAACGAACGAGGGGGAGGAGAGGAAAGAGAGAGAGAGAAAAAAAAGGAGAGAGAAGCGAGAGTGCAGGATGGGTGCAGGTTATCATGGCCCGTGACCGGATTTGATAACCGAGGCCGCTCATATTATCTTTGCGTTTAAAGGGCTGTCCTATTCTCGTCTCCTTCTCTCTATTCCTTTTCTGATTCCTCTTAAATTTTACCCTCCTTGACACCCTTTCTCTCTTTTCCTTTCTTTCTGACGCTCCCCCTCACTACTCCGTTCTTCTGCGAATTTGTCCCAGTAAACTAGAAAATCATTTCCTCTACAGCGCCCTTTCATCTGAGAATACCTGGCCTCCTTGGAAGCAAAACTGATTACCATCAACATCATTTTTTTCTCTATCCATCCTGAGTATAATAAAAAAGGGAAATTAATCATATTTTTTCTCTCTGTCCTTTCGGGGAGCCAATCAGCGTGGGCCTTCCTGATGCTTGGGAGACGCGGCCAACTGCTATTGGCTATTTCGGACCAGCCAATCAGCGACCGTGTTTGCACATCGCGAGCTTGGTAAGTCACGTGAATAATCACCTCGTTCGAACGCTTAAATGATTTTTTCCTCGTTCAGGCGAACACTTGTGTGATTACATGCAAATAAATATGAGTCAAGACGAAAATGAAGATCCGATGAGACAAAGGGGCAGAAGACCGTGACAAAAGGAGGAAAGGAAGAGGAATAAATAGGAAAAGGGAATGAATGGGAGAGATTAAAAGGGAACAGAAGGGAGAGAGGGCGACGAGATAATGGGAGGGAGAGAGGGGGGCACAATAATGAGATATAGATGAAGAGACTGTGGGTGATGTGAATACAGTTAAGTGATTAATAAGTATATTAGAAAAAAATAATAAAAATTTGGTTCTTGTCAACTTAGTCTTGAGCGAGAAACTTTTTAACGCTGATTTTTTTCTTCGTTTTCCTGTTTTCTCCTCCCTTCTTTTCACTACACATACTTTTAAGTTACACCTATCATGACTGCTTATAAAGGTGACAATACTGTTCTGTTGGCAGTTGAATGACGACCAGATTCTTCACTAAGACGTAACTCTCTGTATCCTTATGTGTGGTTGGAGTGGCGTTTATTTTCGAATTGTGTGTATTTGTGTATTCAAGATGAAGTAGGAAGAGAGAATAGGTAAGGAGGGACAAATAGTGAAGAGGGAAGGTGAGAATAAAAAAGGAATAAATAGGACCTCTCGAAAGAAATTGGGAAATATATGAAAAAATGGAAATTATACGAAAGAAAATAGGAATTACATGAAAGAAAATGAAAATTTTATGAAAGAAAATGGGAATTATGTGAAAGAAAATGGAAATTATACGAAAGAAAATGGGAATTATGAGAAAAAATGGGAAGGCATGGGTATGGGAGTCAAGAAGGAAAAGGATGAAACAAGGGAAACGAAAAGGACGAAATGAAAAAAAAAAGAGGAAGAGGAGTGCGAAGAAGACAAATATAATGAGGAAGAGAAAAGCAAACGAGATCAAGGAATAACATTAGACAAAAAAATGGAAAAATAACGAAATCGAACGAAAGAGAATGAGAAATTCAGTAATAAAAAGAAAAGACATTCAGTGAAAGGATGAAAACAAACAAGAAGACCTCAAACTGCGACACCGAAGAAGAAAAAGAAAAAAGACGAAGAGTGATCGGAGATCTCCCATAAAATAAGGTCAAAGTTCGCCCCAAGTGTGTCATGGTCGCGGGAGGTCGCCTTCATGGCCCGAGTCTCATGGCTTTCTCAGCTGCTGTGGAGACGAGGCCTGGGGGGGGGGGGAGGGTGGTACTGTATAAGCAGGAGTGGGGTAGCATGGGCAGGGAAGGTAGCAGCAGGGTGGGGAGGGGTAGGGACAGGCAGAGAGGTTGGGGCTGAAGTAGATTCGGAAGTAGAGTTAAAGGTAGGGATAGGAATACGGGCAGAACAAGAAACGGGGATAGAGGAAGGGGAATGGGTCAACTAAGTGCAAAAGCAGAGGGAAAGGTAGAAGTACAGACACGGGAAGCAGCAGAAAAAGACGGGGAGAGGGGGTCTGGGGAGGGGACAAGAGGGGAGTGAGTGAGGGGAATGAGAGCGGAAAATCCTGCCCTCCTTTAATCACACCCTCTAGAGGTGCACCAGATCGCTTTATCAACACGTAACATGAAACCGCAATATGTCCAGGGAGAGAGATATCAAGCATGCGTTAAACAAATGTGTAGACAAGATAAATACACTACCATAATATACCGATGACACGAATGTTTACGAATACACAGTCAGTCAGTTAGTCTGTCTGTCTGTGTCTGTCTCTGTCTCTCAGTCTGTCTTTTCTTCTCTTTCATCTCTCTTCCTATCCCTCTCTTTCTTTCTATTCTATATTCCTATCCTCTCTTTCTCT